CGCTCAACTACAAACAAACAAATGTCGAAATTTAATGTTTGATTTAGCTGTGTTTCAAAATTGTGGACATAAACGTCTAAAAACTTGATAAAAAGGTTCTATAAATAGAAGCATGGCTTTTTGGTTGACAATTGTAAACTTCTTTAATAGCATGCTGATAATACTGGTTGTATGGGAAATATCATTCATCCTTCCTTTTTGTGTGTTTACTAGCATTTCCTTCTGAAATGTGCTTTGCTACCAGATGTAAACTTTCTTATGGTATGTTATTTAGCAAATACACTGGAAATATTCTTTGCTACCAGGCTATATACTTGTTTCCTTGTTTTATATAGCAGTTATTCTTTTTTGACATATTTTATTTATGGTTACAGTCTTTCGAATAAGTTTAGTAACTCAGTCCGAAAGCAATTTCTTTAACGGGACTAATATAATATATAAAAAACACCATCTCTAAAATCCTTCATCCTCGTAAAAGTAGCGCTTACCTTAGTTTTGTTTGTTGTTAAGCACAAAGCTACAAAATGGGCTATCTGTGATGTGCCAACCACAGGTATAGAAACCCACTTTTTAGCGTTATAAGCCTTTAGGCTTACCGCTGAGTCATTAGAACTTAGCTATAAGTTGATCTTTTTATGAAATATGCTACATAGATTTTAGTTATCGGAATAAAAGGTTGCTACGCCTACGATAATGCCCAAGTTTTCTGTAGCATCATTTTGCTACCAACATATCGCCTTTTCCTCTCCACTAATACCATCCTTGCACCTTCCCCCTCAACTATCATCAACCTATCACCGATCTACCACCATTCTATCAAGTTTCTCCTCCTTTATTGCCACTCGCCTACCCTCAACCTTTCTCCCTACACGCTCTAGTATCACAACTCTTTAACATTTCCCCCTCCAATATCAAAAACTTTTCACTCTGTCGTCCCCCTCTGATAATACCACAGTTTCAACTACTAATAGGACAAGCCCTACATCCTATCACTATTCTACACATCAGTAAACCTTCTAGATCGAATCCGCATCCCACCAAACATGCTCGCCCTTTCAGCCGTGGGGGCGTTATAAAGTGACGGTCAATCCCACTATTCGTTGGTAAAAGAGTAGCCCAAGAGTTGGCGGTGGGTGGTGATGACTAGCTGCCTTCCCTCTAGTCTTACACTGCTAAATTATGGACGGCTAGCGCAGATAACCCTCGTGTAGCTTTGCGCGAAATTCTAAAACAAACAAACAAACCTTCTAGAGATGCGTGTTAACTTTCCAAAACAAAAGTATTCAATTATTCCTAAACATATTATGCGAAGGATAATAGAAAACCTGTCACGTATCGATCAACAAACAGTGTGAAAACCGTTTGTCTCAGGCGAAAACACATAAAAACGCGCCTTCAGTACAACCTGGAGTACAAATCATCAAGACGTGTATGTGATGTGGTCTGGCGAGTCGCGTTTCTTCTTAATCCGTATTAATGTTAGAGCAAAATTACGGATAGAACTACAAGAAGTACTTGACAATTCTAGTGCTTTTTCGCTTCTGTGAGTCGCCGAAGATGATTTGGAAGTGTGAAGAACTTTATTGTGAAAGGATGTGCGTTTGATGCCTTTAGCTCGGCGCATAACATCTAGAGTCTGCATTGTCACCAGTCATGTCGCCCATTATCATCTACAGTATTTCCACTTTGCTGGCAAATTCACCACATTACTTTTATTGTTCTAAAAATTGGTTCATAGAGCATGACAGTGACTTCAGTCATCTTTCTTAGCCAGGAAAATCTCTGTATTCGATGGAATAAACTTGGGATGAATTTGAACTTCGGATTCACCATTGTTAACCTCTACCGACACAATGTAGACCATACACCTTTTAGCGAATGGATTACACTCAAACAATACAAGTTCATGCAAGTCTTTACCACCCAAGCCCAGACTTTTATTGCACCAAAAAGTGGTCAAACCTGATATGACGTGAAGGTCTCTATAAAGTGGCCAGTCAGTGGATTTCCTTCTTCTTGTTGCTAAATTTCACCGTCATTGGTTCCTATGTCCTATAGATCTTCAAACGGCTGTTGAAAATAAAGCTTCAACCCAAAAATTCAAGGATACTTGTATATGATTAACTTGGTTTGCAGTTGGAATTTGCATTGTTTGTAGTCGTCTTATTGGTTAATTATCTGATCGTTCGAATCTTGCACAATTACAGGCTGCTAAATGATAGATAAGGTCGTATTCAACACATGAAAATAAAATATTACCAAAACAGAAAAATATGTATTAAGTCAGATATTATTATGATAATTGCTCATATAATATTATATAAAAACAATTAATTGTAAAACGTATTTATAGCTTTAAGCTAGCCAGGAACTCTAAATATATTTTGTCATATACCCTTTTTAACTAGAACACCTCCATAGGAAACAGATAAACCAACATAACACGTCTAGATGTGGTTGATCACAACCCTAATGAACAATTTTTTCCAATATAATCAATTGAACTGTGGAAAATTTACGCTTTAAACCTTGAAAACAGATTTTACTAGTAACATCTCTAACACTCAGCCAAATATTTGATTTAATATTTACCTTTCTCTTTGTCTGAGTAATTCATAAATTTTTAATTATATACGTATGTTACTTTACTCTTTCGTGTTCTTGTA